CACACTACATAGAGGAAAAAATTGAAATCACCTCTTATAAGATCAGGAACAGGACAAAGAGGTCTGCTTTCACTACTCTTACTCAATATAGTACCAGAAATTTTAAAGCAATTAGGCAAGAGAAAGAAATAAAAGGTATACAAACAGAAAAGGAGGAAGTCATAATACCCCTGGTTGCTGAAAATATAATTTTTTTTTCCAATGCCAGGGATCAAACTCAGGACCTTGTGCTTGCAAGGCAGGTGCGTTGCCACTGAGCTTAATCCTCAGCAACTGATAATTTCATGCATAAAAAATTCAGACTCCACCAAAAGGCTTTTAGATCTGATTAGGTAGTTCAGTAAATGAACAAGGAAAAAATCAGGATATAAAAATCAGTAGCATTTCTAGGCATTAATAACAAACTTTCCAAGAAAGAAATCAGAAAAGAAATCCCATTCACAATAGCCCCAAATGAACAAACAAAACATGCAGAAATAAATCTAAGGATGCAAAATACATCTACAATGAAAATTATAAAACACTAAAGAAAAAACCGAAAAAAGTAAGCAGACCTTCCATATTCATAGCTTGGGAGAATCAATGTTGTTAAGTAGCCATACTAACCAACATGATCTACAGGTTCAATGCATCCTCATCAAAATACCAATGACATTTTTTTTACAGAACTGGGGGGAAAAATCCTAAAATTCATATGGAAATACAAAAGATCCTGAATAACCAAAGCAATCCTGAGCAAAAACAGCAATTTTGAAGAGATCATAATACCTGATTTCAAAGAGGCATTGTTTAAAAAAAAAAAAACTGCATGGTACTGACATAAAAATAGACATATAGACCAACGCAACACAACAGAAGACTTGGAAATAAATCCATGCATCTTCAGCCAAAACGTACATTGGAGAAAGGACAGATTCCTCAACAAATGGTGCTGGTAAAACTGGTGTTATGGTTTGGATATGTTAAGTCCCCCAACACTCATGTGTTAGGGGCTTGGTCCCCAGTGCAGCAATGGTCAGGTCCATGGCTTCTACGAAGTGATTGGCTCGTGAGAGCTCTAATTTTATCAATGGATTCATCCATTGGTGAGTTCATAATTCAATGGGTTTATTAGGATTGAGTAAAAACTAGATAAAGCAGGTTGGTGGAGGCATGACTATGAAGGGTATATTTTGTTCCTGGCCCCTTCCTTGTTGTTTTTTTCCCTTTCTCTCTGCTTCCTAGCTGCCATAAGTTGAGCACCTTTGCTTCACCATGCCTTTCCTCCATGACGTTTTGCCTCACTTCAGTCCCACAGCAATGGAACCAGGCAACCATGGACTAAAATCTCTGAAACAGTGAACCAAAATACGCCTTTCCTTCTTTAGTTGACTTTAGCAGATATTTTGTCACAGTGACAAAAAATTAACTAACACAACTGGCTGGATATCCACATGCATAAGATTGAAACTAGACCCCTATTTCTTTTCTCCCCCTGCTTTTCTGAGACAAGGTTTCACTATTTCAAGATATTGGCACAAACAACAATTCCCTCAATAGAATTCTAATAGCTCAGAAAACAAAACCAAGAACTGACAAATGGGATTACCTCAAATGAAAGTTTCTGCATAGCTATGGAAATAATGAACAGAATGAAGACAACCTATGGAGTGGAATAAAATATTTTCCAGGCATTCATCTGACTGAATATTCAGAATTTATAAAGAACTAAAAAAAAAAAAATGCCATGCATGGTGGCGCACACCTGTAATCCCAGCCTTCAGAAGGCAGGAAGATCACTGTGACTTTGAGGCCAATCTGGGCTACATAGTGAGTTCAAGGCCAGTTTGGACTGCATAGTAAGACCCCGTCTCAAAAAACCAAAAATAACAACAAAAACAACAAAATTAACATCTCACTCTAGTTTTAAATAGCTATTGTCAAAAAATTAAACAAACACTAACAAAACAAAAAAATGCTGATGAGGATGTGTAGAGAAAAGATCACTCACCCTTTGTTGGTGGGAAAACAGTATGGGGAGCCCTCAAAAAACTAAAAATAGAACTGCTGCATGTTCTAGTATCTGAAGGAAGTGAAGTCAGCATACAAAAATGACACCTGCACACCTATGTTTACTTTGGCACTATCCACAATAGCCAAGATATGGAACCAGCCAGGTGCCTGTCAACAGAAGAATGGATAAAGAAAATATAGCATATATACACAATGGAAAAGTGTTCAGCCATAAGAGTAACAAAATCCTAACATCTTCAAGAAAATGGATGGAACTGGAGGACATCATGTTGAGTAAAGTAAATCAGACACAGAAAGACAAGTATCATGTTTTCTCTCATATGCAGAAAACAAGAAAGACTTAAATGTAAAAGAGAGACTGTTAGGGCCTGGGAAGGGAACCAGGGGAGTGAGGAGAGAAGGGAGGGCAAAAGAGAGTAGAAGGGAAGTAGACATGATCAATGCATGATATATGCAGGCATGGATATTTCACAGCTAAGTCTATTAATTGGAACAATTATGTTAATAAAAATATGAAGGAAGAAATTAACAGCAAATGGATGGAGAAAGGTATGCCACACTAAAACTAATCAAAAGAAAGTAGGACAGCTATGGATGTAGTTCAAGGATATAGTGCTTGCCTGGCATGCACAAGGCACTGGGTTCAATCCCCAGCACTGAGAAAGAAAAGAAAGAAGTTATACTAATTTCAGATACAGCAGACTTTAAATGAGGGAAGATGAAGAATTAAACTGGGCATTTTACAGTATAATGATACAAGTATCAATTATCCAAGAAGATGTAACAATCCTAAAATATGTGTGCCTAACAACAGGACATTAAACTACATGAAGCAAAAACTTATAGACCCACAAGGACTAGAGGAATCTACTACTATAGATGGGAATTTCAACACCTTCTATCAGAAACAGATACAGCAGGAAGAAAAATCAAAAAGGACATCAATCAAATGGATCTGTCATTTATAGAATAATTCATTCGTCTTGGGGCCTGAAAATCCATTTGCCTAGGTGCTCCAATCATGACAGTGCAGTGGTTTGAGTTCTCTTTCTCTCACATTGCATCGATTCCACCCACAAATGCTGAAGGCCCTGCCTTTGAAGTAGCAGAGGTGCCACAGTGGCCCAGTTAAAACTCAAGTGTATCATGACCCTGCCTTGCTCATGCCCCATAGCGAGCCATCTCACCTGGAGTACAAGTCCTGGAAATGGCATACCTATGTGTCCTCCCGTTCTTAGCTCCCCGCCTTTCCTCCTATCCCTAATTTCCCCTTCATGCAGTCTGCCCCCACCGCCGCCGCCACCACCACCGCCGCCACCGCCGCCGCCACCGCCACCGCCACCGCCACCGCCACCGCCACCGCCACCGCCACCGCCACCATCACCACCACCACCCTATTTCTTGCTGCCTGTCAAACACATCAGGTGCAGTCCTGTCTCCTGCCTTTGCACCGGCTATCTCTACTTCCTGGCACAACCTTTCCCAGATGCCTGCCCGTATGGCTTCTGCCCTTGTCTTCTTGAGGTCTTCTCTAATCAACCCGTTTAAAACCTCAGGTGTCCTTTTACACATCCTCTTCCTTCTTCCTTACTTTATATTTTTCTCCGTTCCACGTGACGTATTTTTTTCCTTATTGCCTCTCCTCTACTGAAAGGAAAGTTCCACCAGGGCAGACCATTTCTTGGCTCTGTTCAACGCTGCATCCCAAGGGTTATAACAGTGTGTGGTACGTTCCAGGAGCTGATCAATAAATATTTGAGTGGAGAAATTTCTTGCTTTGAACCAAATGTCTTCTAGTGGTACAACACGATAAGTTCACATCCCTGGAAGAAGCTGTGATTTCGGATACATCAAACCCGTAAGGGAAGGATATCTCCGTATGCCACAGAAATACATTCACAAGTGAAACGGTCGGCCACGTTTCCCTAGGACTATACGGTGCGCTCCGGGCAGGAGTCTGGAACCAAAGGTGTACTTCGAACTCTTGGGCTCCAATGGGCAGGAGGCAGCCCAGCCGGTGGAACAACGCGCTCAGGCGCTTTGAGCTCAGGTGAGGCCTAACCCGGATACCCCGCCCGCCTGCCTCCAAGCTTCTCCCTTTGGCGGATAGCGAAGGACCCGCTCCCCACTGGTTTAAAAGAGAAGAGGCGGGGATGGCCCGGAGGGGAGTGACTACTAGGGGAGGCCAGTGTGGTGCACCTCTGAGAGGAGGACTATCAACTTGGCTGATCCTAAAGGGTGCGCCAGGCACACGCCTAAACAGCCGAGGGTCAAGAGTCAGTCAGCGCTTGGTCACACTCCCCCACCGCCCCCGGGCGTCCCCACCGCCCCCGGGCGTCCCCACCGCCCCCAGGCGTCCCCATCGCGGCTGTGCCTTGCGGAGGTCAAAGCAGCTGACGCAGACTCAGTCGGCGCACCCCCGGCAGCCCCCGCGGCATGGGCTGTCCGAGGAGGCGGAGGGGGATGACGTCATCCGGCGGGGCGACGGGCATTGGGCGCCATTTTGAAAAGGGAAAAAAAAAAAATCCCTCTGCGGCGGCGGCGGCGGCGGCGGCGGCGGCAGCCGGAGCTGAGCGCTCGGCGGGGCGCCTCCGGTCGGGAGCGCTCGGCTGGGCAGGCCCCGTCCCGCGCTGCTGCCATGGCAGGTGAGGGCAATGGGCTCGCGGGAGGGATGGCAGGGAGGATGGCGGGTCGGGCGCGGCCGGCCTGACTGCTCGTTGTGTTGCAGGAGCCGGAGGCGGTGGCTGCCCAGCGGGCAGTAACGACTTCCAGTGGTGCTTCTCGCAGGTGAAGGGCGCCGTCGACGAGGACGTGGCGGAAGGTGAGGCCACCCGGACGTCGGGTGCAAGGTCATGCGGAGCGGGCGCCGGGACGTGGCCACCTCCGCCCACGTTTCCCCTCGCGGCGCTGTGCGTCTTCGCGGGCAGGGACCCGGGGCGGCCTGTCTGGGCGGCGGGGGCGGCCTCGGGGCATCCGAGGAGTTTAGACCCGGTGCCTGTGGACGCCGGTCTCGGTGTGCCATGAAGGATGTTCTCGGGGCCCAGGCAGAGAGGTCTCCGGCTACTCACTCATGCAGAGTGGTGTGGGGTGCCCAGTGAAGGTGATCTTGGGGCTCGTGCAGGGTGGCCGAGGCTCTCGGTCTGGCCCTTTCCTGGTCACCTGCGAGACCCTGGCCAGCTGTCGGCCTCTGTGTTGCCTTCAACAGGAGGCGGGGACTGCTTGATTCCAGGGTCTCTGAGGCTCCAGAGTTCTTGCTTTTCACTATGAATGCTTTCTTCTCCACTGTTCGTTTTAAAGGTCCTCCATATTTTAGTCTTGAACTCTGAGATGCCTGTCCGTTGTCCGGTCTTTTCCCCTCAATCCCAGCTTTGAGTGGGCCAGGGTGCGAAGTTGTAAGGTGGTGGACAGAGAGCCAGGAGAGCCTTGAAGTTATGCGTAATGGAATGTGAAACTAAGCTAACTCTTAGAGACGTGGAGTTTGGTATTTCATAGAGAGATGATGACTTTTTGTTGTTCAAGCATCTTAGAGTTTGAATCTTTCACTTTGTCTTGAAAGTGATGCCTGCACTAAACACATCTTTCCTGCCCCAGATTGCTGAGTTTCTGATATCTGGACCTGGTTCTTTGACCGCGGCCCCTTATGACCTTTTGCTGCCTCCTCCTTCACCCTGTCCCTCTCCCAGGATGTGTCTGGCCTGGCATATGACCCTTGAGGATATTTGAGGTCTGTGCCCCCATTGGTCAAACCGTACCCATTTTATTAAGCACAGTAAACTATGGTTTGAGATTGAAACTAGGTGATTTTTAATATAACCTAAATTATTTATCGATTGTTTCTTCTATACTGATTTAAACTATATTATTCTTTTGTTTCACTTTGTGTGTGCCAAATGGGTGACAGTTCAGCCACATGCAAGTGTGATTTCTATGAGAATAAAAGCAAAGCTTGTTTGTGTAAGCATAGGCACGTGGGAATACTTAATATCAGTCTTAATTTCTAGTTTCTTTACCTTTGTTTTGGAGTTTTTGTTGATATACTGAGTGAATTAAAATTTAAATCTAACGTGTATTTTAAGTGTGATTTCTGAAAATCATTGTTTCCCTTTAAAAAAAAAACTTGCAAATAATTTATTGCCCGAATCTAATCTGCTTTGATTGGAACTTTTTGCAGGTTTAAGCCTTTAAGTAAAATTTTGAATACATCTGTAAGTTTGGTGTTGCAGTTGTAATTTTTTTAATAACATTACTGTGTGTGTGTGATTGTATATATTCGGAGCTATTTTAATTGACCTGTGCCTTGGATGTAGTAACTTAGCTAGATTAACATATTTATACGTCACCATTTGTCAAGTAGTTATGATAGTGTTCATTTGAATTGTGTCAGCATCATACAGCCACTAGTAAAGAAGGAAGCTATAACTAAAGACTGTTAAAAGAACAAGAATCGGGCCGGGGATTTAGCTCAGTGGTTCTGCCACCTGCAGCTCAAGGTCCTGAGTTCAATCCCCAGTACCAGAAAAAACACCCAGTAAGAATCAAAAAGCTAGCAAGCCCTTGTAATTCCAGCTACTCAGGAGGGTGAGGAAGAAGGATTGCAAGCACTGGGCCAGCCTTGATAGTTTAGTTAGACCCTGTTTCAAAATAACTTTTCAAAGGGGCTAGAAATACAGTGCAGTGACAGAGCACTTGCTAGCTATGTGCCCTACCCGCTAAAAAAAGCTATTCTGCCCAAACTCAACCTTGGAGGAAAAGGGTTGGTGAAAGTTACTTAGGAGATAGGTACTGATGCTTAGACTGTAGAACTTAATGTATTATAAGATTATCTGCTTAAACTTACAGGTTGTGAATCTTTTTGTTCTTTAAGGTTTTATTCTGGTCTACCTCTGGCTACCTCTGCAGAGTTCCACGTAACGGTGTACAGTACTTTGGTCTGTTTTCCTGCTTTCCCTGTGATAGCAGTCAAAAATTCCTTAGAGATTGAGACTGGGACTCTCCTGACTTACGTGGGGGTAATGGTCCAGTGAGCAGGGATGGTACCAGAGCAGAAGTAGGCAGGCCTTTTTGAAAGTCATGAAGTAAAATGAAACAATACTTTGCTTTTTTTTTTTTTTAAAGTAAGTTCATGGGGTGGGAGTTCAGTCATAATTCCTGATACAAATATTGAACAATATACAGTGTAATTTTTTTTTCCTTTAAGATTTGAGATTGGCTGTGGATCAGGTTACCTGCAGTGCTAAGAGTCATTTTTCCATTGTTCCATCAGTTATTTACATGCAAATAGGAGTGAACTGGACTCACAAGGAAATTAGTAATTACCCTGCTGGTGGCCAGATGCAAAGGCAGCCAGCAGTGGTAGCTTGTTTTTCCTGCCTTTGTGGAAGGTGAGCTAAGTGAGCCAGAATCAAAATAGTAAAGCCAGGGTGGCTTCTACAGGGAAGTGAGAAGAAAAGCTCTTTGCTATCTTGTGTCTCCAAATACTTGGTCTTGAATGGCGACTGCTTTGGGGGGGTTGTTGAGTGTCGGTGCAGATTTTGCATGTGTGCTGTTTGTCACCTTCACCCAGTCCCTACTACCTCTGCTTCAACATGAAGGCTACACATGATTATCACATGATGTTACCATCTTAGCTTGCCTGTCTCTGGTAGAGTATAAACACCTTAAGCTTGAAGGCTGGTTGTTACCTCCCCACGCTGGCACCTTATAGAGGACCAAGCCTGGTGGTAATGATACTTAACAGTTGTTGAATGCTTATTGTGTGCCAGAGAGGTTTTTTAAGGGTTCTACCTGTGTCCTAAGTTGATTGATTTAATCTTCACATAACCAGAGAGGTAGAAATCATTGTCCCACTTTCAGATTCTGAAACAAAGGCACAGAGAGCAGTTACTTAGTCATCCAGCCACTATGTGGCAGGGCCAGGGTTTGAAGACATGCTGACTGGCTCTAGAGCCTGCTTGTCCTATACTGCTCCATTGACCATTTGCAGCCAGTACTCATGGAACCCATTATGGCATCTTGTTGTCCTTCTAAATGCTCAGTAGAGAGCATACAACCAGAAGTACTACTAAAATGCCTATGAAAATGAGATAACTTTTAAAAGATGAACTTATCAAAATAATACAAGATTAGTAACAAAGGCTCCAAATGGTGTCATTTTTCTAACAATTCTCAGACTGAAGAGTAGATATCACAGAGACAAGGAGTAACTGAGATCTTGCATGTTAAACACTTACTGTTTTTGGACATGATTGCAGTAGGCTTACTTGTAAGAAACAGTGGGTCTTGCTACTTTCATACATTTATTGCTGTTGGGGAGAGTGTCGTGTTGAGCCTGGTTGAGCTTGGTATAGCTTGATAACATCTGGTTGCTTTCATGTCACAATTTGTAGTTTTGAGTGCCTTGACTTTTTGTTAGATGATTTTGTTTTCGTAATTTTCTTCATTCATGAGTCAATCCATTGCTTTCAGTTAGACTTTAACCTTTTTCTGAAGAAATAATACCACACAAAACTAAAGGTTTGTCTGCTCACCTGAAGGGTGATTCTAGGAATGGACATAATGCTGGGTAATCAGGTAGTATGCGCCTTCCTAAGATGTTACAAAGATGTTTCAATGAAACATTTTAAGTTGGGGAAGGTAACAGAAATTAGAAAAATTTGGGCATCAGTCAGGAAGTTACTGTGTTTCACTGAATATAAGATAAATCTAATTATAAAGATAAAATATGGGAAAAGATACTTAGAGTCAGTGAAATATGGTGTATTGGTGAATGCAGCACTTTTTAGTCATTATTTTATAATATTGTGTGGGCATTCAGTATTTATCATTGGTCTTTGTGGAACACAGTGTTTGCTTGAGTTATTCCTAGTCCTAGTCTGATTGTGAAATTTTTAAATTTCCACTTAATATCTACATTGTGGGGTTGAAAAGGATTTCAGGAAAGCAACATGGGAAGGCTTTCCAGCAAGCAAGCAATAGATCTAGTAGCATCTTTGCAGTTTAACTCGAGAGCTTCGTAAGGGAAATCAGATGTGTGCCTTTTGTGAGATCAGTGCATTCACTGTAGTAAGCAATGTTTAACATATTTTTAACGTGTTTGAAGTCAGGTTGGTGAACAAGAAGTTCATAGAAGGTCGTAATAAGTTGGAAAGATTGATGGTATATTAAGTCATACCCTTGATGTTTTCGTTCCTGATTCTGAAAATCTGTTGTCTCATAGGAGGTTAGGGTTCAGTGTGTGTGTGCCAGTTTCCAGTTCTGAAGGTCTCTGCTGAGCCTTAACTTGCTTACCTAGAAATCCAAAAGATTTTTGAGATCATACAATGTGTGGTTTTGTAACGTGTAAAGTACCATTCCAATTGTTAATTTATTTCAAAGTGTTTGGATTTAGTTTTTAGTATATTTAAACACAAAAATAGCAGTTTCTAGGTTTTTCCTGACCCTCTTCATTCTCTGCTCTTATCCCATATGCCATCTGCTTGGTCTAGTCTCTTGATTTTTCCATTATTCTGTGACTCTTATCCCTTTACCTTGATCCTGTTTCTTTCTCAAGTTAGTTTTTTTCTTCCTTCCTAGTTTCTGTCCCCCTCCCCCATCCTTCTAATTCCATCTCAAATTCCACATTGTTTATGGGTCTCTGCTTCAGCCACTCTTCACATTGGGTATTCTGTCTTGGACTCTGGACTTTCCGTTCACTTTGCACTAGTTGCTTGGCAGTTGGTTATGTCCTGCTTCATAGATTAAGCTTGTCTCTTCAGCTTGATGTCAGTCAGGGTGGAAAGTTGTGGTGGGTGGGAAAACATTGTGCAAAGGGATTTGGGTACAAACCCATTTCTGCCCTCTTAACTAGCCTTGTGTCGACTTGGCAAGGTACTTACCTTTTATTTCCCTATCTGGAGAACAGGGGTGCTATTACCTGTGACCATTATAGAGTAGTTGGTAGTCCAGGAAATGTATGGAAAGCACTGGCAGGAAAAATGGGGACTGGTAACTGTTTGAATGCTGTTCAGATTGACTCTGGCATAAAAGAGCTGATACTGTGCTGCTTCAGGAAGCTAAGCCAAGAAAAAGGAAGGGTGTTGCTGGGCTGAAGAAGTAACAGCA